TATAAATAATTCTAATTACCATCTTTTTTGTTTCCTTGAAAAAAAACTTTATTGTACAAAATAATGTATACTAGAGATTTTCTAGTCCCACCCCACCCCCAGAATTATTATTATTTTTTCCATTGAATTATCTTCTATTTGTTTAACTGTTTTTCAGTTGGGAAGAAAAAACCCCTCTTTTTAAAAATAGAAAAGTGTATTCTTGAAAAAGTATATTCTTGCTGGGTGTGGTGGCACACTCCTTTAATCCCAGCACCTGGGAGTCAGAGGCAGACTTTGTGAGTCTACTTAGGGAGTTCCAGGCCAGCTGGGGCTACAGGGAGACCCTGTCTCGGGCTACAGGGAAAAAAAAAAAAAAAAAAAAAAAAAAAAAAAAAAAAACCCCAAACCCCCAAAAGTACATTCTTAAAGTAACTCAGCTTTTTATGTGAAATGCAGGAGTCCACTGATGATACCAGTTTTTGTTTGTTTATTTATGCAATCCTGGGGATCTAACCTAGGCCCTTGTACATGGTGTGCAAATGCTCCACCCCAGAGCTGTGTCTCCTGACCTCTTTTTACCTTTTATTTTGAGACAATGTCAGTAAGTTGCCCAAACTGGCCTGGAACATACTCTACAGCTCAGGCACGCCTTGAACTTGTAACTCTTCGGCTTCCTGAGTAGTTGGAATTATAGGTCTGTACCACTATGCCCAACTAATTGATATTAATTAAAAATAAAGCGTTGAGTTTTTCTAAATATCAAATTCCCTTAATCAGAATCTACTTTGCATTTTAATGACTAGGATAGTATAAGTTATGAGAAATGGAATCACTTGAAAAATGACATTTAAATGAAGTATGTTAATAAATGAAATTTTTAAAAGAAATATATTTGTATGAAACATATGCATAGACTTTTTCTTACAAATTAGCAGCCCTGTGCTGGAGAGATGGCTCAGCAGTTAAGAACACTGGTTGTTCTTGCAGAAGACCCGGGTTCGAATCCCAGCCCCACATGGCAGCTAACAACTGTCCTTAACTCTGGTCCCAGGGGATCCGTCAGCCTCTTCTGACCTCCTTGGGAATTGCACGATACAGGTGCACTTACCTACATGCAGGCAATACATGCATACACATAAAATAAAAAAATAATGAAATAAAATTTAAAAAAATTAGCAGCCCTTTGTGGGAACATTTGATATTAAACATGGAGTTACTCTCTCAAAATGGTCTGCGTTTCGATTTTACCCTAATTAAGCCATGTTAAGAAAATGTAAATAAGGAAAACAAATTTGATTTAATTGACATGGCTATCTAAATGATCAGAAACTTGTTTGATATCAGTCACTGGTTAAAATGGCACCAAGGGAGAATACATGATGCATTGTTTTCACTTGTATATTTTCCAGGCCCTTGACTATGAATTAGTCTCTGCAGTACAGCTTTATTTTTATTTCCTTCATTTCCACAAAGCCCTAATAGGGAAGTAATTTTGAGGGACATTTGGCTTTAGATTTAAGCTATTCCTAAAATATAATCCCCCAGATTTTAGTTCATATTCTTGTTATTTGTTTTGCTTTGTTTTGAGACAGCTGGCCTGGAACTGGACTTAATATGTAGGCCAGAGATCTACCTGCCTCTGCCTCCCAAGTGCTAGGATTAAAGGTGTATACCACCACACCTGGCTTAGTTCATATTCTTATGTATGGTTAAGCTTACACATTTTGCAGAGCTAAGACTTGCAGCAAACTAGCACCCTGAAACTTGCAGTGGACATACTGTGTCTTAGACCAACAATGTCTCTTACTTTAGACTTAGAAAAAGTGTAGTAGAAAATATTTTAAAATGTTAAGTGGCTTCTGAAAAAAGAAGTAAAAGACTATATTCACCTAACAGTAAAAATAGCTATTTTGTTTTAAAAGATTATCAATAAACATTTGTAACTAATAACAAGAACATTCTAAAATAAATTCTCATTACAGTAGTGAATTCAATATTAAAAAATTTTGTTTTTTCATAATCATCTAAAATTTATATAAAGTTCAGTTTTTCATTACCTTTCAAGGATGGTAACGGATCTTATTTGTTTTAGCAGTCAAACAGAGGCAAATCAGTTTACAGGAATGGCTTATCAAGGGCTTCTTTTAAGTGATCGGCGAAGGCTAAGGACAGAAAGCATTGAAGAACATGCAACACCAAACTCGGCTCCTGCTCAGTGGCCTGGTGAGAATTTAAGTGATACTGTGTTGTTGTGGTGTTGGTTGTTTTTCTTCCAAATCCTTTTGTAGTAGAAAAAAATTTGGGGGACTGGAGAGATGGCTCAGTGGTTAAGAGCACTGACTGCTTTTTCAGAAGACCTGGGTTTGGTTTCCAGCATCCATGTGGTGGCTAACAACCATCAGTAACTCCAATTCCAGAGGATTTGATGCCTTCTTCTGACCTCTGCAGGCATTGCATTACACAGATGTACTTATATACATGCAGGCAATGCACTCACACACATAAAATCAAAATGAATAAAAATTTAAAAATATATTTAAAATTTTATTTATTTATT